TCCCCCAGCACCGGGCACGGCTCCCCCAGCTCGGCTCCCCCATACCCTGCACGGCTCCCCTCACACCCGGCACTGTTCCCCCAGCCCGGCTCCCCCAGCCTGTGCTGCCATTCCGCTTCGTGCTTCCGTGTGAGAAGTCACATTAACTTGTGTTCTTTTTGCCTTCAATTAACCTCTCCTCCTGTAATAGAGGTTAATGGAGATTTCGGCTTCCTAGCTTAAGTTTTTTTAAGCTACACTGCCAGAATATATTTTCATTATTTTAAAATACTCTGTTTTCTACTCCTCGGATCAGGCTGTCACTGTGTTGTCAAGCATAATACAGCTCAGCTTGTAGAATTTTACAGATTTCTACAGGAAATCTCTATCTGATTTTCTGAAAGCAATATGTTGAGAGTGTTTATAATGTTTAGTTTATAATGCTGTTAATTTTAACAGGATGTAATGCAATGAGCCTTAAAAAAGCTTTGTATAATTGTAATGCTGTTTTTTAGGCATACCCAGACATACAGCTTATGTAAACTGTAAAAAAAAAATATTWAAAATCTATTTACCTAGGCCRTTGTATGCACATCAGCCTGGAATTGCATTTGCATAAATTGCTACTCTTTATATAAGTGGTAGTTTAAAAATTTTTGGAGTTTATTGTGTGCAAACCTGTTCTCTGTGCTGCATCCACAGATCTATTCCCTCCTCAAGCAAACTCCAAACTGTACCATTTTGCAGAGCTCTCATGGAAAGCTAGTTTCAGCATCTAGCAGCTTCTTTAGATATTCAGTACTGGTAAAAAAGATTTTTAAACTACTTTGCTTCTGAGTCCATCCTSTTACTTCCCACCCAAGTCAGCCCAGCCAAGGCTGGTGTTGGGGAAATGAGCTGTGCTGGTACTTGGGGCCCAGAGAGGAGCGTGTAAAGCACTTGGACACTGAGTTCAAAGGAATCTGGCATCCATGAACCTTTTTCATGAGTTTGTATTTGTAACTGAATGCATTCAAAGCATAATGATGCACAGGAAGAAGTCACGGCATGTGCCCGACTAATTCTGCTGATCATTTGCCTGAGGGTGCTACAAACTGTTTCCAGTTTAGGTGCAGCAATCCAGAGGCTCCAGGTAGAAGAAAGTCTTTTAGTAATTGTTCTTCAGGTGTTTTGAGCCATGTCAGGTTTTTAGTGCCTGTGATACTGTTTAAACTTCTTTTGGATTTCAAAGCTCTGTATGTAAGCAAATATTCAATGGGGCTTTAAGTGACCAAAAACATCTTTGACTTAGAAAGCTTTAGTAAAACGAACTGGAATTGACTGCATTCATTTGYACAGCCCACTGGAGCCAACCGTGCTTAGAAGCTGAGTCTCTGTGGAGCTGGGCTGTCTCTGCCATCTCCATGTGTGTGTTACCTGTGTCTGGCTGTGCTGGCACACACGGCTGTGTACTCTGGCTTCTGGAATCTCTGATCACAGGTAACAACTGGGCACAATTTGTGTTGTAGTCAGAAATTATTTGTTTCAGGCAGAAGCAGATTGTTCTCTCTTGTGAAAGCCGAAGTTGGGAAACACCAGGGAAATGCCCAGGAAATGCTGAGGCCTCGCTGTTCTTGCCCGCATCAACTTCTCTTTTTTTCACTTTTTGGAAAATTACTTGGTTTCAGGAAGATGTGGGGAACACCTACAGAGGGTGTTGTGGCTGGGGCAGTGGCTCAGGGATCTCCTGGAGCAGTAGCTCCGGTGGCGGGGGGAGCGGTTCCTCTGTTTCCGAGCACAGTGCTGAGTGCCTGTGATCCTCAGAGGGTTCCTGGAGCCACTCAGGGGGAGGTGGCAGCTCGGGACACTCGGCTGGGSTGTCTGGCTGAGGGCAGGAGGCTGCTGTGCCCTTGGCTGGCTCTGAGGGAGGAGCTGGAGCCGGGTCCGTGGCGGCTTCGGAGCTGCCCGTGGCTGGCAGGGGCAGCTGCCCRTTCTCGGCACCGCTGTTGTGGTGGRGTGGCTGCTCTGAGGCACTCGGATCCTCCTGCAAGTTTGTGCCTTGTTTCAGTTTCCAAGGCAGCATAAATAGAACTGAGGAACGCTTGGTGCCCTGGTCAGAGTCCATGAGGAGATCTGGGGTGTCCCCATCGGCRAAGGGGGACCGGCCTGCCCAATGGGACTCAGCCAGAACAGGCCTGGTGCAGCATTTCCACAGGAGAATTGTGGTAATTGCTATCACCATGCCAATCAAAATGATGCCAATTATCAGTGCTGCTACCCAGCTGCCATCCCCAGCTTCTTCCTCTCCTGGGAAGGCCTGGGGCTCTGTGACRGCCAGGGATGTGTCAGACTGGTGTGAACTGGGCGCGGTTGTTTGCAGTTGGTAGAGAGGGGTTTTGTCTGTCCTCAGGCTCCTGGAGGTGGTGAGCGTGTGGCTTTCAGTTGTGGCAGTGTGGTGAGGAGCTGCTGCAGAAAGGGATCTCCACATTTCCCCACAGAGCACAAGCAGTATCACCTGGCTGCTGGCCATTTCCCTCCAGCCTCTTCWGCAGTGTCTCCTGTTGCAGGCAAGAAGTAGAACATGGTGACTTGCAAACTGCATTTTTGCACTTCACGGCCACCAGACAGTCTTGTGTTAATACTACCATAGTGAAAATAGTGCTCTACCCCATAATTCACATTTCAAGCTTGCTCCCATCTTCATTATCAACAGCAGATTTTCAACATTATTGATCATACTAATAAGTGACTTTTTGGAAGTAATGGCTTTTTTCACCTTATCAGAAAAAGGCATTGACAGAGCAGTTCTCACAGGGTTTCAAAATAGCCTTTATCAATCATGTAACTGGTTATGGGCCTGGAACAAACTCTGCAGATTGATMGACAGGGTTGTCAGAAGTGAAGAARRAGCTTGTGATATAAGCAGAGACAGAAGTAAAAGGCTCTTTAGAGTTCTCTTAAAYTTTTATTTCCTGTTCTCATCTCTCTTCAGTATAGTTTAAAAGTTTTYCAAGTACTTATGCTRTAATGACCCAGCATTCTAATGATRAACTGTTTTATAAATAAATTCCTGMATGCACATTGTGCAAATKCTGAGTTGTTYGCATGAAACAGMTTCTTTTTTTCCTGTACYGATTGTAGTTCAAATCTCTAAATGTCTCTGTGTGAAATAAAAGGTATAAAATCTGTCCCCTGCACTGCTCTTTTCCTTCTGTAGTCACATTCATGCAATTTGAGCTAATTCATTGGTTGTTATAGTGCTGGTCCTGTGAAGCTATTTCTGGGAAATTAATATGCATGAGTCTTTATGGGTTTACAAATATGCAAAATTAAATTTTGAATGCAACAGTGTAAACACACATGAGCAGTAAATCAGAAACTCGAGAACATCATGTTGTAAACTCCGATAAAGATATGTAACGGGTTAAAACAATTCAGTTCAGTTTTTATCCTGCTCCCCTCTGTTCAAAATAGAGTCAATACTTGAAGTGGGTCCTTACCTGGGCATGTGTCTTCTCTCAAGCAAGCGCCATCTGACTTTGTTGTGTGGAGGCTCGGGAGGGCTCTGTGTGCTCGGAGTCAGGCACTGTAAAATGGCCCTTTTTATGCTGAGTTAGTAGAGAAAGAGGAAGTTGCCAACACTGGCAGGAAATGTCTGCGCCAAGAAGCTCAGGGGCTCTTATCTTTGCATTGTGTGTTCCACGGGCAAACTTCTGCTCTGCCTCACTACTGGGCTTTCATAAACATGTGTTTGTAGCTTTTGCCACATCAGACACCTATGTATGTGTTCATGGAAATTCTTAAATACCTGTTTGCTTGTCTTTGTAGAAAATAGTGATAGTTTTTTTTTGTGTGAGTCAAAAGCTATTCAAGTTTGGGCTGGATTTGAGTTGCTGATGTAATTCAGTGGTGGGTTTGCTATGCTCTCAGGATTATTTGTGGGAAGCCACCCCTGGGCTCCTTGGTGAGTCATGGAAAGTTGTATGATCGTGGATGCTGACTACTTGCACACCCTCTGAYGTGTTACCATTGAGAGGAGAGGATAAAATCTGATTTTACCCTCAACCTGTCCCTACTCAGTTATTTTTCTGTGTGGGCAGTGTTCAGTGGGACCTGCTGCCATCACTGATGGAGAGCTGTGTTCTGAGCAGCTGCTTCCCCCTGTGCGTACCATGGAGTGTAACTCTCATGCTCTCTTTGGTCTCCTTRAGCGTTTTTGCCTGGAAAGGCTGCCTGGCAGAAAAAAAAACCCCACACTAAAGTTGGATTTTTTGAGCTTTGTCTYTCTCCTGGGTACTGTGGTGCTGTGCTGCTGCCTCTGCTGCTGCTGCAGCCTTGCCAGCCAAGTTAGTGGGTGATCTAATGGAATTGGGGTGGGATTCTGTCATCCTGGACCTCTCAAACTCGTACAGCCATCTCCTGTGTCACAGCTGTTGGTTACAGCTGCACAGGATGTTTGGAGTTTTGGCACTGTGCAGTCTCAGCACTTGTAACCACAGTGCAACAGATCTTCAGCCCAAGGAGCAGCCTGTGGAAAGGTTCTCACATTTCCTTAAAAATGCATGGCAGGCTCCTCCCTGGAATATAGGAAGCTCAGGCCTCTGAGAATAAAGCATCTCAAAGTTGTTGTGGTTTTAAGAAATTCTTGGCATGTTCTMATTGGTGCCAGAGAAAATGGAGTGTGTTTCCATGATGCAAGAAATGACAGCGAGTGATCAGAAACCTTTACTGAGCTTGCCAGTGTTACAGGAATKTAACATTCCAAAATGCCTGGCCATATTTTTTTCTAACATTTTAACTTMTAAAAATAGTATCACATGAGTCAAGTTATTTAAAAACTGATATTGCAAGTTTATTGAAGAKAACAAATTGAACAAGTTCTCAGTATTCTTTTCTATTTAACAAATGTTACGAATTTCATCTGCTCATATACAGCGTCAAAACAATAAATATGGCTCAAATCAGTCTGCTTCAAAAGTAACTAAGCTGGTTTAAGAAGTTCTTGATGGAAATTCCAAAAGGGCATTTTGAGAAGGACTAGATCCTGAATCTGTGGTTAAATGAGACTTGTGACTAATGTATGATTTTTTTGAAAAAGCMGCCTGGTTATTCCTGTGCAGCATCTTAGTGTTCAGTGTGTGTATCAGACTGACAGTCTGTTCTCTTGCTCCCTCTTTGAGCATGGGCAGATTCTGTCCTTTTGGTTTATCCTGTTCAGCTCCTGTCACCCTGATTTCTGCTCCGAGGAGTAAAAYCAGTCTTGACACTACTTACAGAAAGCAGTTTTAACACATGGACACACATAGCTGCAGCATTCCCACTGGCATAAATGGAAAAACTAAAATCTGGATTTGGCTTTCTGGGTGAGAATTTCTTGTTGTTACTTGAAAGCTGAGGTTTTGCCTTTCGTTAACRTAACAAAGGCAAAAGATGGGTTTTTATCTGAGCATGAATTAAATCTCAACTACAAAATTGGTTAAAACAGGTTTGTGCATCTGGGATGGTTCTTGGCTTTCTTGTTCATTATCTGCTGCTTTGGTGAGTTTCTCTGTAGTTTCATCTTTGGTTTTCTTTTGCTTCACAGCATCTCTCCCTGATCTCAGCTCTTGCATTATCAGCTCAGTTCCAGTTGTCTCYGTGGGCATCCTCTGCCACGTTCCTGCTGCTGTGGGCCATAAGCTGTTGGTGGCCAGGAGGTCACCATTGCTCCTGGGCCTGCGTTTTCCCTGCTGGGCTCTTTGGAGATAGGACATTTTGTTGGCTACTATGACTGTGGACAGACACAGGCAGGTGCAGATGAGAACAAGAACTGCAATGACAATGAAGCAAATCAGTATGAGGGTGTTATTGTCTTCACAGGTTTCTTTGCTCATTGGAYTCTTGGGTTTGCTGCTGTTTCCCAATATTCCAGTGGTGGAAACTGCACTTGTGGCAGGGGAAGATGTTGAATTTTGGGCCATTGCAGAGGAGAAGGATGGCAGAGTACTTTGCATTTCAAAAGTAGTCATTTGGCTGCTGAAATTGAGGCTCAGAGGAGAATTTGTTGTTTCTTCTGTTCTGTTCTGGCTCCCACTGAAGTTTTGTCTGATGGGACTCCAGGTTTCATCTCTGAGCTTAGGGTAACCTGTGTGGTTCGCACTCGTTCTCAGCCACAGAGAGAAGATGATCATGACAGGGAAGGCCAAATGTGGGTTACTGCATCTCTTTGTCTTCATCTTCCTGTTTAGTCCCCTGCAAAAATAAAAATTGTGGTGTTAGCTTAGCAAATGCTCATTCTCGGAGGTTAGGATTGGACTTCTTAGGGAATAGCAAGCAGAAGCCTTTTTGATGAGAAATTCAAAATGAGTGGCCTCATTTGGGGGGGAATGTAGGAGGATGAGTTCAGGCACCTGGATTCTTAAGGAATGGATTTTCTCAAACTTCTGACAGTTTGAGGTTTGCAGAAAACATGTGAAGATCAAAAAAGAGCATAAGCAAAGAGAGAAAGAAAAGTGTTTCCTACTGAGTGCTTTGTGATGTCAGGGCGGGTTTGGGGAGTTCCTCCTCTCTGAAGCTGCCCATGTTACACTCGGTCATCACTTCTGCTTTTACAGGGAATGGAGAAACCCTGTCGAGGTTACAGATCACTGACTGCTCTCACCTCCCTGAGTTCCCCTGGGGTGGGCAGGGGAGCCCTGCTGGTAACAGATGGGCAAGSGAAAAACTTGAACCAAAATGTTCCTGTAAGAGACAGCAGTAACTTACGTGAATTGTGGCTAGTTCCTAGCACAGCTCTCTGGAGTACTTTAAAATGCCCAGGAAAACCTTTGTTCTCTAATTTTTCTGCTTTTTTGTACAAAAAGCTCTTTATCACAAATGTACTTCCTGTATCKTTCTCCCAAACATGCTACAGATTGTGACATTTTCTTTAACACTCCACAGATAATCATGCAAATGAGAGTAACCATTCATATGTTCTGTTTCACRTTTGTGTGGTATTCAAATTTGTATCTATTGGATTTGTGTGGAGGGTAGGAATGCGAGAGTGGGGTTKGTCTGATACTGAGATAATAACTTCAAATTAACAGTGACAAATCAGCCAAGCAGTGCTGGCTGCTTGGGCCCAGATGTTCCTGACCTTCCCAGGGTGAGGCTGGTGTTCCAACATGTCTTTYATCTGCCTCTAGTAACAGATCAAATGTTTCCTTTGAACATTACACACTCTGGCTGGTGCAAATTTAAATACTGCAGAGAATGACCTAAAGTAGCAGTATTAATTTTATAAGTGTATTTGTTCTTGAACAAATTAGTTTGTTGTTGTGAAGGTAACAAAGCATATTTCTCTGTGTGTAAATATGAAAAAKGAGAGATGTTCCTGGTGTGTGAGCAGGTGAAGAGAAAGCAGGGATACAACTGGTGTGCAAGGGGATCTCTACTTACACAACAAGGGAGCAACAAAACATCTGTGTCTTTAATTTTGCATTTCACCCATAACATAAATTTATTCTCCATGCTGAGCTGAATCCTGTTCGTTCAGTTTGAACTAGAAACCATCCTAGTCATAAACTACAGCTCGGGTAGAAGTTTTGTCTGTTTATGKTCTAAGTCACCTGTATGATGCTTTGTTGCATACTTTGAAAAGGAAAAGTAAACCCAGCAAAGCCTGGGTGTTTTTTTAAGCAACATTTCAGCAGTTTTGAGCAGAACAGGCAGAGCCAGCACAGCCACACTGCAGCTCCCTGCTCTGCCCCAGGCACACTGAGCCCAGTGTTCATTGTAGCCTTCCAGACCAAATGTGCTTTTCTTAAAAATCAACTGGCTGATGGTGTGAAGGGCTGCACTTGAAATCTCAGAGCAAAGGAACTGATCTTTAAAGAGCTGGTTTTAGTTCAACTCTTTGTGTCTGGGTATTGACTGGTCTCAGTTCCCAGCAAGATCAGAAACAACAGAGCTAAGTAGTGACTGTCACTGTTAATTCCTTGGAGTCTGATTGTGAATAACCTTTAGCATTACTAAAAATACAGTTTATCAGCTTCMTTGATTCAGCTGGAGATAATATTTCTACAGTTTATTACTATTTTTGAGTTACTCAAACGTCTTTAAAAATACTTTGGCATATGATTTTCTACAAAATGCAAGAAACTTTGAAGTACAACTTAAAACAGGAGAAGAAAAATGTGTGCTTACCTGCCAAGATGTAGTCAACAGAAAATGGGTGTTTCAGATATGTAGTCCTTTGACAATAAGATTTCTTTGTGCATGTATTTGCTCCCAGGATGCAAACAATGTCAGTGTACAGCAGGGAGATTTGGACAATGCTGGTGTTTTTTAGGCAAATCTCTAACTGCAGTGACATGTGGCTCTGAGTGGGGAACTAAAACCACAGTGATGACACACTTCCTTTGGGTAACAGCTATACCATGACACATTATGGGGAAAAACACCAACTTGCCCAACTTAGCTCTCACGACCACAGGAAGTAACGGGGAGAAAAAAGTCTCTTGGGCAGATGAATGTTGTGTGYTCTGGGTTGTCCTGCACTCAGGTGTTATCGAGAGAAGAGTCCCAAACACTTAAAGCTAAACCTGTGCTTTATCAGCTCTTCTGTAGCCTGTTTGCCTTGGAAGAGTTAATGACAGCTCACAGCAGTGACAGTATTTTCATCAAAAGCACTGCTGTGGCCCCAGGGTGTTTGCAGGACCATGAGAAGGGTCAGTCTGGCCCAGGGACAGGACTATGGGTGCTGTTGGTGTGCCCAGACACTCCAGTTTTAGTGCTGTGGGCCCCAAATGTAACCCAGCCATGTCTGTCTTGTCTTGCAGGTTCAAGACTGGTCAGATCAACGGGGATTTGCTGATCTACCATGTGCTGCTGACCCTGAAGCCATACTATGCAAAGCCATATGAAATCGTGGTGGACCTCACACACGCTGGCCCCAGTAATCGCTTTAAAACAGACTTTCTTTCTAAATGGTTTGTAGTTTTTCCAGGCTTTGCTTATGAAAATGTCGCAGCAGTTTTTATTTATAACTGTAACTCTTGGGTCAGAGAATACACCAAATACCATGAAAGGCTCTTGACAGGTTTGAAAGGGAGCAAAAGACTTGTTTTCATAGACTCTCCAGGGAAGCTGGCAGAGCACATCGAACACGACCAGCAGAAACTTCCAGCAGCTACCTTGGCTTTGGAGGAGGACTTGAAAGTGTTCCACAATGCTCTCAAACTGGCTCATAAAGACACCAAAGTTTCTATTAAAGTAAGTGCTTTTAATGCTGTTCCTGGTATATTTGCATAAGGATTGGAATTTGAATAGGATTGAAATTGTATAAGGATTGGAATTGGTCTCTGAATTCTCCTCCCTTGTCTTGAGGAGAAATCACAATTTTCAAGTGTGCCCCTTTAGGAAATACAAAATTTTATCTTTTCTAAAAGTAGCAGTGTCAGGCTTTTCTCTCTGTGATTACCAAGAGGTGCTGAACCACTTCTCCCTTCTCTCCAAGGTTGGCTCGACCGCGGTGCAGGTGACGTCGGCAGAGCGCACGCGGGTGCTGGGCCAGACAGTGTTTCTGAATGACATCTACTACGCCTCAGAGATCGAGGAGATCTGCCTGGTGGATGAGAACCAGTTCACCCTGACCATTGCCAACCAGGGCACCCCGCTCACCTTCATGCACCAGGAGTGTGAAGCCATCGTCAGGTCCATCATCCACATCCGCACGCGCTGGGAGCTGTCGCAGCCCGACTCCATCCCCCAGCACACCAAAATCCGCCCCAAGGACGTGCCTGGGACTCTGCTCAACATAGCCCTGCTCAACCTGGGCAGCTCCGACCCCAGCCTGCGGTACAGAGCTCTGAAATCAATACCACTGCTCACAAATGGGAACCCTCCCTGCTGCTGTTCTAGTGTTAGAAATCCTCTCTGGAGAAAAACATTTTTTCTTTCACCATAGCTCCATAAAATGCAATTTTTAATAAAGAAAGATTGAGTTTCCTAAGGTGAAGAAGGGTACACATTGTCAGAGGAACTGAAGGGGTGCAGGAAGCTTAGTTTCTCTTTATAAGGAGAAGTACTTCTGCTTTGCACTCAGTGTTTATTGGGTAGATTTGATTTCCATGGTGTTGAGCCTCTTGTTTAATAATGTGGGAGCCCTACCTCTTGGAGCAGCTTGTAATTTGTGTCAGGGGCACCGCTGGGCAGGCTCTCTCCCAGCAGCTCAGGTACTCCTGGAGGGAGTAGAATTTAGAATTTCCTGGAACTTCAGGCTGTTCTGAGAAGTCTGGTACAAAGCCCTTCAAACATACTCAGTAACCTTACCAAAAATTGTTCAGAGCAAGTAGAGGAATAAATTCTCCTATTTTTCCAATGAAGTTTTTTTTTTTCCTCTGGATTGTAACCAGTCCAGGGAGAAAGTTTGGGATTTAGATGTGATTTCTACTACAGCAGCATTGATTTGATTTTTGAAATGTCAGTACTGTTGTGTATAACATGTATATGTTCAAAYGTACAAGAAAACTCTTACAATTCACATTGTTTGCTTTGTTACAGGTCTGCTGCCTATAATCTTCTATGTGCCTTAACCTGTACCTTTAATTTAAAGATTGAGGGCCAGTTACTGGAAACTTCAGGTCTGTGTATTCCTGCCAACAACACACTATTTATTGTATCTATCAGTAAGACTCTTGCAGCAAACGAGCCACACCTCACCTTGGAGTTCTTGGAGGAGTGTATTTCAGGATTTAGCAAATCCAGTAAGTATCTCTAGTGCTTCTTAGTGCTAACCATGAGTTTGAAAAGATTTAGGCTGGCAGCTGTCTGGCTTAGTCCACCRGGCTTCCTCATTGGCTCTGTTGCACTCTCTGATTTTACTGTTGGAAGCTGTTCAGAGTATTTCCTAAAGGTTAAAAAGAAAATAAATGAAGTATTACTGCCTAACACTGAATGAGCACATTTTTATATCACTTCCCATAACAAGATATTAAAATGTCACCACGTCTGTGCCAGATACCTGCAGGTGATTTTTGGAAGTCATTATCAGAGATGTTTCTTTTTGAAGCATCTCTGGTTGCCCAGTGTTCTTTGCTCAGCTCAGTAATTATTTTAGGCACTAAAARTGCTGAGGAAGAGCTGTTTGTGAAGAGAGTGAGTGTTGTTGCAGGCATTGAGCTGAAGCACCTGTGCCTGGAGTACATGACACCCTGGCTGTCCAACCTGGTGCGCTTCTGCAAGCACAACGATGACGCCAAGCGCCAGCGCGTCACCGCCATCCTGGACAAACTCATCACCATGACCATCAAYGAGAAACAGATGTACCCTTCCATCCAGGCCAAGATATGGGGCAGCCTGGGCCAGGTACAGATCTGCATCGTGTGACTTCACTTAAAGTCCTCTTAAGGACTTTAAGTCCCCTTAAGGACCCCTTAAGTCCCCTCTTAAGGGGTCAGTATTTTATAAATAGTTACAAAGTGGAAAATAAAATAAAAATAGTGCTAACTAAATTATAGTTTCTAGTTCTGAAGAGTTGGGAGTAAAACCTAATAGAATTCAGTTTTAAGCTTCTAAAATTTCCATGAGGTTTTTTGTGGAAAGGATTAAGAGCTCCTAAAACTGATGCGTCAGTTTGTGGTAGTAGTGCATCTTCAGCTGAAGAAATGAATGATTGGTGTTTAAAGGCTGGTTCACTGTGAAAAGTAAAGTTAATTTGCCTGATAAGAAAGGATTTTTTTTGTCTATCAGATAACAGACCTTCTGGATGTAGTGCTGGACAGTTTCATCAAAACCAGTGCCACGGGGGGCTTGGGCTCCATCAAAGCTGAGGTGATGGCAGACACAGCTGTAGCACTGGCTTCTGGCAATGTCAAACTGGTGTCAAGCAAAGTGAGTTCCCTCTTTGCCTTCATTTGCTTTTATAGAATAATTTCCACTTACTTACTAATGGGACCCTGAGATGCTTTCTTATAACTCTGTACAGACAATAATGCAAAACCTATGATGAAATAAGTTCCAAGCAGTAGAATAATTCCAGTGTTAAATAGTGATGGTTTTTACTGAAATTCTGAGTTGTGTTCCCCATTTGAGCAGAKAAAAATGGCTTTCCTCTTTTCAGGTGATTGGAAGGATGTGTAAAATCATTGACAAGACCTGTCTGTCCCCCACGCCCACRCTGGAGCAGCATCTGATGTGGGATGACATTGCCATTCTGGCTCGGTACATGCTCATGCTCTCCTTCAACAACTCCCTGGACGTGGCAGCACATCTCCCCTACCTCTTCCACGTGGTGACTCTGCTGGTGGCCACGGGGCCCCTTTCCCTGAGAGCTTCCACTCACGGGCTCGTCATCAACATCATTCACTCCCTTTGCACTTGTTCACAGCTTCACTTCAGTGGTGAGCTTTCTTGAATTTTCAATGAAGCTGATTGCTCCTTAATTTGTTTAACAAATATTTGAGTTGTCTTTCTCTGCAAACTATTCTGAGAGTTTGAAAATAGTGGGTTGTAGTTCAGCATGAATACAAACCAGAACGAGGATATGATCAACAAGAAATGAGTGTGGAATTTAAAAAGTATCTCAGAGCAGGTGCATAATGTAAATAGTTTGTATAAGGGGTTTTAGAAAAAGAGAAGAAAGTACCAGTGATATTCTGGTAAGGCAAAGGAGAAAATACATCGTGCTAAAACTGGCTTATATGCATCTTGTGAAGGGTTGCATAACATGGTAACAAAAATATCAATTACATAAGGGAATTGTGAAGTTACAGTGTTAAAACAGGTGTTTTATCTACTGTTGTATTTTGGCAGTCCTAAAATAAATGGTATTAGCAATTAGGCACTTACCCTAAAAGCACAGTGTAAAACCAGGCCAGATTTTGTGCAGAAAAGAAATTCAAAATTTATGTGATCTTGTCTTTTTTGAAGTATCTGAAGTCTCATTTTCTGTCTGTACATATCAGCAGTGTGAGTGGGTGCACACACAGAGGTGTCTGTGTGTTTGTGCTCTGATGCTCTGAGCCTCATGCTCACACAGTGGGTTTGAAGTGCACTGAAATCAGCTGAAAGGTCAGAACTGTGAAGAGATTCAGTGCCAGAGCAGGGCCATCATTTTCCTCTGCTTTAAGTGGCTTTCTTCTTGTAAGTGCCAGAGCCAAAAGCAGAGTCTGCTGCAGTTTGAACTTCCAGTTTGGCTGGTATTTCAGAGCAGGAACACTTTGAGTTTCCATTTTCTGAATCACAGTGAGGAGAACTCACAGAACTGCATCTTTGAACAAGTTCCTCTGTAGCAGTCGTTAGATGGTTAGAATGGTTAGAATGGTTCTCTAAATGGTTAGAATCCATTTCTTGTGCCTGGTTTTCAGTGCAGGAGGGCAGATTTGCTGTGCCTGACTCGGGGCAGTAGCAAAGGGAGCGGGGCTGGAATGGGCACAGGGGGCTCTTGGCTCCTGGTGTCCCTGGGAGGAGGAGCTTCGGGGGAAAATACAAATTAGAATTTCCCTGCTGTAAATCTAACATGTTCAACTTTATTCAACAGAGGAGACCAAGCAAGTTTTAAGGCTGAGCCTGACTGAGTTCTCTCTGCCCAAATTTTATTTGCTGTTTGGGATCAGCAAAGTGAAATCGGCCGCGGTGATCGCGTTCCGCTCCAGCTACCGCGACCGGTCCTTCTCACCCGGCTCCTACGAGCGCGAAACCTTCGCCCTGACCTCGCTGGAGACAGTCACTGAGGCACTGCTGGAGATCATGGAGGTGGGTGCTGCCCATGGAATGGTGGGTGCTGCTGTGCTTCCTCCCTGAGAGCCAAACTCCTGCACATTCTCAGTGGGACAGATACATTTTCTGCATGTCGCATTGTCCTAAATGAATTTAATGGGAGCAAAACACTCCCAAGTTCCAGCAAATCTCCCCCTGTCTCTTTTCCCCACCCGGGTCCTAGAGACAAACTTTTCCACAGAGAGGAAAGTGAAAGGAAAAGGGGGAAAAAAACTATTTATTTAAAATTATAAAAACACAAAAAAAAAACCCTGTGTAATCAGCTGTTAGATCCCAAAGCCTTTCTCTTCCCTCCTGGGAGTGGCTTCCCCTCCGGGGCCCCAGAAGGGTTGAACAAAGTCTCTCTCCAATAGTTCACTGAAGGATCTTTCTCGCCTGTCGTGCCACGAGAATCCTCCAATTCTCAGATGACGAAGAAAAAAAAAAAATTTCGAGGAAAAACAAGTCCAAAGAAAGAGAGAAAAAAAAAAGCAGTCCCAGAGAGCAGGCAGATTCTTTTCCACCGCTGATCCCGAGAGAGCCTCCGGAGAGAAAGAATAAAAAAACAAAACCGTGTGTGTCTTGTCCCTTTCCCTCCCATTGTCCTTGAAGGGAGGAACATCACCAAACAAACCAGAGCAGTCTCGACTAATGTATAGTTACAGAAGGGTTGTTTAACTTTCCTCTAATATAAGCAGATGATAGGAATACAATACTCAGCTAACCAAGGAAACACATCTATTCAAATTTTATATTCTCATTCTTTTTTAGGCTTGTATGAGGGATATTCCAACGTGCAAGTGGCTGGACCAGTGGACTGAACTAGCTCAAAAGTAAGTCACAGATCTCAAACCCTGAGCTCTCCCTGCCTGTGCAGAACACCCAGAATTCTCAGCTTTTTGATATATTTATATATTCTTTTGTTATATATATGTTTAATGCAGTATACTCTGTTTCTTCACAGGTTTGCATTCCAGTACAACCCCTCCCTGCAGCCAAGAGCACTGGTTGTCTTTGGCTGTATAAGTAAACGAGTGTCACATGGACAAATAAAACAAATAATTCGAATTCTCAGCAAGGTATATGGSTCTGTTTGTTTTCCTTTGTGACTCATAAAGTAGCTATTTTTAGCTTTATCTTTCCATCAAATATAGACCTTGACATAATTTCAGGATAAGTATTTTTTCAAGCATATTCCTGTTAGAACTGATTGGAAATATACTTTCTATATGCCAGGCTTTTGAACTTGATTGTGTGGAAATAAATTCCATCACTGCTGTGACTTCTAGAGTATCAATAGGTCTCAATAGTGAGTTTAAAATTCCTGACCCAGGTGGATCCAGTAGTCAGTATTTGAATAAATGAGAAATTTTCTGTTAAGGCATTTACCAGCACACACATGATTCATGGCTTCCTTGTTCTTAAAGGAAGTGAGTAACCTCATGTGTTATAATTAAATACAGTAAAGAGCTGATTTATATCAGAAAACTTTGCTGTAGGTGCCTGGTTTGACAGTGATGTTCCATCATTCTAAAGCAGGTTATATTCCATAACAGGTGAGCAGTATACTAAATATGTGTCCTTTAAGCATTACAGTAGAGCTTTATGGACACAAACTTTAATTAAATAGTGTCTAAATGGTAAAAGACCTTCTCTCCAACTCTTCCACTCCCCCTGCAGCCTGACTGTTTGGGTACATGTTGTGCAGCCTTACATCTATTTCTGCTGYCTAAATCTACATTTGGAAAAGTTCTTGAGAGCTGGTTTAAAATSTGCTCAGGCTTTGTAAATAATTGAGAAAAACAGTTACTGTGCAAAGCTTTGATCTTCTTTTTACAAAGCAAAATGTAATTATGATTGTATTTTTAATTACTCTCTTTTTTTTCAAAAAGGGACTTGAGAGCTGTTTRAAAGGCCCTGATAATTATAACAGCCAAGTTCTAATAGAAGCCACAGTTATAGCCCTCACCAAGCTGCAGCCTCTTCTTAACAAGGTAAATAACTGCCATTTTACAATAAACAGAATGCATTTTGTAAATTAGAATTGTAATTATGGGTATAATCTCAGAAATACAAGCAAGTGTTGGAGTGTCTGAAGTTCACAGGTGGAAGTACCACATGTGGGAGGTGTGGCAGATGGTGGGACCTGCTTGAGAAATGCTGTGGAAAGTTCTGTTCTGCTTCACTGAGCTGGGCTGTGGCAGCTGGGCAGAGGCTGGGCCCAGACTGTCCCCATGTCCCTGTCCCTGTGCACAGGGTTCCCATTTGCTCTCAGATGGGTTCCCATTTGCTCTCAGTGGGTGCTGGTGCCCTGCACACCAGGGCTGTGGGACATGGCCACGTGTGGTTTGCTGTTGGTTCATGGAGCTGCTGTCACTGCCAGGGTCCTGTCTGAGAGCAGACCAGGGGTACAGCAGGAACAAAGAGCCTCGTGCAGCTCCTGGAGGAGAATAAAACTTGTTCTAGAAAACCTCTCAAGAGCCCCAGGATGTGCTGAATGCCAGTTCCTGCCGTGTTTGGTTCTGATTTTGACCAGGAATTGCCTGGCCAGGTCTGTGTGCAGAGCTGCAGCCCAGTTCAGACTGAGAACAGCAGACCCATTGCTGGCACTGCTGGCACAGGGCACTGTGGATCTGACACTGTGAGCAAAGATGGGATGTGGCAGAGGAGGAATGGCTTGGGAGGTGCACACAGGGCTTGAAATGCATTTCCTTTGTGATGTTCCTCTGTGAAGTGCCTTAACAGGTCCCTGTGAGCATTTCCTTGGAATGGATGTGACAGCACMAAACCTGCTSGAGGAGGGCAAACCCTGCCCTCTGTCCTGGCAGTGAAATTGTGGCTCTTTCTCTGTCCCCAGGACTCTCCCATGCACAAGGCTCTGTTCTGGGTGGCCATGGCTGTGCTGCAGCTGGATGAGGTGAACCTGTACTCAGCAGGGACAGCCCTGCTGGAGCAGAACCTGCACACCCTGGACAGTCTGCATGTGTTCAACGACAAGGTGAGCAGGCTGCCTTCCCTCAGAGCTCAGARAAAAGGGACCAGCCCTGGCTTTGTCCTTTTGCATGCTCATTTAGCAACTAAACCTGAAGTTTGCATTAGAAATTGTTTCATTTGGGTGATAACCACAGGCAAACTAATGTGTGAAGAGAAGYTTTCATTGCTGTTCAAAACTGGAACAGAAATGTCCAGATGTGATCTGTGAGATAGTGTTTGATATTTTCCTGTAACCTCTTAAAAGAACTGTTTTGTCACTTAAAAAATGCAACAAACTTGAGATGCTCTGAGTAACTTTGAGTGAGGTGCTCTTGTATTTTATTTTTGGGGTCAGAGCCCAGAAGAAGTGTTCATGGAGATCAGGAGACCCCTCGAATGGCACTGCAAGCAGATGGATCATTTTGTTGGGCTGAATTTCAACTCCAACTTTAACTTTGCACTAGTGGGACATCTCCTGAAAGGTAAGATGCTCTTTGTTTGAGATGAACACTCTTACTTCAGGAATAAAAACAAGTCAAGAGATAAAGGGGCCAAACTGGGTGGTGGATTTTAAATAACTTGGGCTACAGATAAAAAATTAAACACTCTTTGATTAAAGGATTTTGTCAGGTTTCCTTTATATGTTTTCTGTGGAGGTCTTTAGTGCTGATGACAAAAGTTCTGAACTGTCAGAGGTTGCAGAGCTTCATTTGCTGCAGTCTTTKACTTCTTCCTCAAGAATGCCCCTCTCTGTTTGCCTGTGCTCAGGCTCACAGTTTTTTTAAAAAGACTGATTTGTGAGGTAACAGTATAATGTATGCACAGACATTTGAAATGATGCAGTTTTGAAGGGAGGGACAGAAAGAAGTCTTAAATGTGCCATTTCAGATAGCATTATGCTCTTTTACCCTTGAGATGGAATGTCTGAGAATGTGCTGSAAAATATTTATAAATGCTTTTAAAATATTAGTGCTTCATAAATATGGATTCAATAGTTCAATACAATCCTTTGTTTCTTAGGGTACAGGCATCCTTCCCCTACCACTGTAGCAAGAACAGTGAGGATTTTGCACACACTCCTGGCTCTGGTTAACAAACACAGGAACTGTGACAAGTTCGAGGTGAACACTCAGAGCGTGGCTTACCTGGCAGGTAATGAACCAAACCTTTCCAATCTGGTGTGGCTGAAAAGCAGTGAGTTATTGTGGGAATTCCTTTGGGTTCAGGTTGTTAAAATTGTACCAGCACAAAGAAAACTTGTAATGGGTGGACAGGAGTGCAGGCAGGGTGGGCACATCAGGAAGGCTTTTTGGGGACTGTGGGCTTTGCCAGCCCAGCACCTCCTCTGCAGCTTTGGGACTTCTTCAGGGAGGCTGGAGGTTTTTTGGTGTAAATATTCGATGTGTGTGTGAGAGCACTGAAATTTCTAGTGGCCTGGATAACAGAAGCTGTGACCATGTGAGGGCAAATGTGTGAATCTTGTCATTGTAACTGGATGGGGAACATAATTCTTTTTAAAGATCCTGCTTTGAATCTGTGCATTTCCTAAGGTGTTGTTGCAGCTCAGTGGTCTTGATGAGATGAATRTGCAAAATGCAAATGGCTGGAATAGTGTTTGTGTTGTTGCCTGCATTTCTGCTGTGGAAAACTGCCCTTGCCTTTGTTGGCTTTGCAGCCCTGCTGACGGTGTCTGAGGAGGTGCGCAGCCGCTGCAGCCTCAAGCACAGGAAGTCTCTGCTGCTGTCAGAAGTTTCAATGGAAAATGTTCCTATGGAYACATACCCCATCCATCACAGTGACACTAGCTATAGGTTGGTGGTCTCCCTTTGGATGAGTTACCCACTGTTTCCTCCAGTGAGGAGCTGAACTCTGCTGGCAGCACTGAGTTCATGGGCTCCTGAGCCATTTGCTCCTTAAGCTGGGATCAACAGTCACAGAGACATCAGGATGTGCAACTCGAACAGATTTAATTTACARAGCTTAACTGCTCTGGAGGCTGTTAAACCTTGTGCTAAATCTTTCTACAAGACCTGATTTAATCTCATTYATATTTTAGAAGAACATTTTGTTTGTCCTTTCAAGAGCTGCAGGGCATGTACTTGTTTGACACCTTGCTACAGCTGGAGGGATCAGTCAGGAAATCAGGTGGAAGTGCCATGGAGAGCCTGTCTCTCTCAACAAGAAGCACTTCACTCAGGATCTCTCTTTTTAGCAYTGAGACTGGAGTAGCTGATTACTAGATATGTTTCATCTTGCCCCATAGGCTGATTTGCTTGTGTTTTTTTCATTGCTTTATTTTTTATCTCTTCAGCATCAYATTCACATCAGATTGTTTGTTTTCACTAGCTCAGACATCTTTGCAAGCAAAGGAATTACTATTTCTTAAAATGTGTTTTGGGGAAATTACCTGGTAGGAAAGATGAGTTTAAGAAGGATAGTTTGGCTACTTGAGAAACCTCTGCCTAAATAGCACAGTTTTAAGATTTTCTTAATTGAATTTCTCTGCACTTGCAGGACACTAAAGGAACAGCCCTGGTCATCCCCCAAAGGGTCAGACAGACACCTGGATGCCAATTACCCAACAGTGGGACAGATCAGCCCTCGCACCCGGAAATCCATGAGCTTGGACATGGGGCAGCCTTCACAAGCCAACACTAAAAAGCTTCTAGGTTATTAACATAACTAATTTATTGATCTGTCTACAGAATACCCTGGGAAGCATTACTGGAGAAAAATCATTTGTGTGTTAGTTCTGACTTTAAGGGCTTATTCCTGATTCAGAGGAATAAGTGCAGTTTCTGCAAAATGCAAATTTSAGGACAATGGACAGTTAAAGAGGACTCAGTTCTTTTGGTCATGAAGGGGGGGAGCGAGAGTGATGCTCAAAATGTGCATGTTGAAGTGGAGAAAAAAGGATATTCCAGATACTGAAGATTCCTAGTGCCCATTTTCTGCTCCCAGCCCTTTCCAGCAAACCTGGGACATGGATCTTTAGCTGCTCCATTGAGTGCTCTGGTTGGGGCTGGAGGAGATGGTCCCAGAACGTGGTAGATGTGTGTAAACAATCTGATTTGTACTCATGGCTTCTCAGTGCATCATATTKACAACAAACTCATGTTTCAGAGGAACAAGCTGAGTTGCTTTGCAGAACTTGTGGAAGCCCTTTGGCATTACACAGGTGGAAGAAGAGGGGCACTTCCTTCATTGCAGCCCTTTCCTGCTTCCTTTTCAGTAACCACATCCTGGCATGTGTATTCTGTGTGGGGGCCAGGAGTCCATGGCATGACCCCTGACTAATTGCATGCTCCCTCCTGTGTATTGTGAAGCACTTTGGAAGCTGTGATGGAGAGCGGCATGGTGTGACCGTATTTTCTGTCCCATCCCTGAAAATGGTGAAAAGGTCCCYAGATTCCTGCCAACACATGCTAGATAGGGGAGTAGCTTGGCCAGAAAATCAGAAAAAGTTAGACTATGGATTTAGGTTTAATGTTTTTAATTGCCTGATAAATTGTTTTTAGGTACAAGGAAAAGTTTTGACCATTTGATATCGGACACAAAGGCTCCTAAAAGGCAAGACATGGAATCTGGAATCACAACGCCTCCCAAAATGAGGAGAGTAGCCGAAAATGATTATGAAATGGGTGAGACACAGGACTAACATTTTAAGAATAATAATAAACGCTTTGTATATCTATACAAAGAAGCATTTCTAAATTCAGTGTTTATTTACCAAGGTTACTCCAAGGTAAGGGAGAAGCACCTTTCTTAGCAATGGCTTCTGCAGGGTGCAGCCTTCGTATCTCTGGCAGCTGCATTGGAGCTGCTCAGGTTACAGTGCAGAATCAGGGGCAGCTCTAAGGGACTGCATACAGAGTGCAATGAAATAAATAGCATTTGGCTTTCTAGAAGTTAATCAGCCCCAGCTGCAAATTCCTGCAGGAGATGGAACGTGAGCTGATGCCTGGAATGCCTCTCTTCATCTTCTCCCCCATCTGCTTCCTGTGCCCTCACCCCCAATTGCAATGCAAGACCAGGGTTCTTCTCTTGTATCTGCCTGACCCCGAATTTGGTACTTACACCCCTGGGCCTGTATTTCACTGAAGAGGAAATTGGGGTTTTTGTTTGCCATCTGATAACACATCCCATGTAGTGGTGCTGCATTACAGKGCAGTCGTTGCTTTGACCTTTGTGACGAGGCCGATGAGCTCGGAGGTTTGCACATGACTGACTCGGTTGTGCAGAACCTGATTCTGTCTTGCTTTGGGTTTATTTCACTCTGGATGAGTTGCTCTTTTCTATCTGGCAGAAACCCAGAGAATATCACCGCAGCAGCACTCACACCTCCGGAAAGTTTCCGTTTCTGAGTCAAACGTCCTCCTGGATGAAGAAGTTCTGACTGACCCAAAAATTCAAGCACTGCTGCTTACAGTTCTTGTAAGCTTTTTTCTGTGTGTTGTCTGCTATTTTCTGATGTCCTTTTATCTCCCAGCAAAACAAACATGTGTTTGGAGTGTTTCCTGGCTGAGTTTTATGACCAACTATTTTGTATAATGAAAGGTTATTAATATATTATAGTTTAAAAGAAATGAACATTGTTGGAATCGCAGCATAATTCAGTTTAAAAGTCATTAATTAGTAATAGAGGTACAGTCTGATAGTACTTTCTTCAGCAGTTCCCACTCCAGGTACAATTCAGTAAGACTCAGTTGTGTGAAAATCTGACCAGACACATTTATTGCCAAAATACAATTTGTTGCCAATTGGTTCTCAACCCTAAATCAATCTTTTGTGTAATGCTGCTTTCTGCTGGTCAGAAATCTTAAACCCTGTAACTTTAAAGTTTAAAACCTTTAAGCAAAGGCTGTAACCACRAGATGAACTAATGCCTCCTTCCCTGCCAGGCCACGCTGGTGAAGTACACCACGGACGAGTTTGACCAGCGCATCCTCTACGAGTATTTAGCAGAAGCCAGTGTTGTCTTCCCAAAGGTCTTTCCTGTTGTGTGAGTACCTGAAATTCTGGTTACAATAATTCTGTGCCTGGTCCTTCTTTAGAGGTCCTTGGATCAGGACAAACACCTGCAAGGCACTTGCTCGTGTGGAGCTTACGAGCTGCAGTCTGTTCATGCTGGTTGATTTTAATTTGTCCCCTAAGAGTTTCAAAGCTGATTTAAAGCCTAGTGCAGGTACTCTTTGGGTGTTTCTCTAGACACCTGTTGTAGTTCTGCTGGAGTGAATATGTGTACAGGAAAACCAGCTCTCAGAAGCTGAGCAGAGTTTAAAACTGACCTGAGCACATCATTAGAGTCYTCATGGAACAGAGTTGGGAATTGTGTTCTGAAATCACTGGGGGTGTGAAAATCTCACCTGAACTGCTGGTTGCTAAAAGTCAGTTGGGAACTGTAGGTTTATTTTATTTAATGACCAAGAACTAAGCTCCTTCTCTTTTCTTCAGGCATAATTTATTGGATTCCAAGATCAATACCCTTTTATCGCTGTGCCAGGATCCAAACTTGTTGAATCCAATTCACGGGATTGTGCAGAGTGTTGTCTACCATGAGGAGTCTCCACCCCAATACCAAACGTCTTATCTACAGAGTAAATGTTTTTCTTTTTGGTTTTTTTTTTTTTTTCTTAAGTGCTGTACTGGGAACACTCTCGGGTTGTTCTCTGTCAGGTGAGAGCTGRGCTTTCATGGTGATGTTCCATTTGTTGTTGCAGGTTTTGGATTTAATGGGCTGTGGAGGTTTGCTGGCCCCTTCTCCAAGGTAAGAGCTTTGTGGGGTTTGGACTGTTTGGCCTTTCTGGGGCATTTTGTTGCTGCTCATAAGGAGCATCACTCACGAGTGAGCAGAGAGTGTCAGGGGCAGGCAAAACAGCGGGACTTCAGAGTCAGCTCAAAAGTACAAAGGAAGGAACAACTCCTTTTTTTTCCCATCTCCCACAGCAAACMCAAATCCCAGACTATGCTGAGCTCATAGTGAAGTTCCTCGATGCCTTGATTGACACRTATTTGCCTGGAATTGATGAGGAAACCAGTGAAGAATCTCTCCTGACCCCCACATCTCCGTATCCTCCGGCGGTGCAGAGCCAGCTCAGCATCACTGCAAACCTCAACCTCTCCAACTCCATGACCTCACTTGCCACTTCCCAGCACTCCCCAGGTCAGTGCCTGTTCAGGTACCAGCTGTGTGGGGGAAATGTAGGAGTTTCCTGCTTTTGGAGCCTGGTGGTCTATTTGGATGTGTTTATGCATCAAACATTGGTGCATTGTGAAGTCAAATGAATGTTAAACTGCTCCTGAGCTGTTACCCTGCTGGTTCAGATCTGGAGTTTATCCAGCACTAAAGCTGTCTCCCAGGTCACTCCATGTGAAGGGAAGAGCAATAAGGACATCATAACAGCAACACCTTCATGTGGAACATGTGCAGCAGTGAGGGCTCGTGAAAACTAATAAATATAAACACACAGTCGTGGTGATTTGCTAGGGGAAAACACTGATCTGGCACTGCAAAGTAGCAGATGTTGGGAAATGTAAGTGCCCAGCAAACTGGTGTGGGCTGACAGTGCTCCAGTTGTCTGTGTGATCCAAGGCCAGTGCTCAGACAGGTATTGATTGCACTGGGGTCGGGCTCTGCCTTCCAGGAAAAAAGAGTTCATGTGGACACATGGGGAATGCTGGGTCCCTTTGGACTCTTATATTGCCAAAAATATAAAGTATTCAGTACAGTAGCCTAAGCCAGAGGAAATTAAATATAGGAAGAAAATAGAGTTTCTATCAAAGAAATCTGCATGAAGACTCATGAAGTGGCTTTGGAGAGGTGGCTCATATGCTGAGGAAATCCTTTACTCTGTCATAAATATTACACTGTGGGATATTTCTTCAGTGGTGATTTAACTTTGCAGTTGTTAGCACTCACATCAACCAACCCTTTATTTCTGCTACATTTCTAACCTTGATGGAAGGCCAGACCCTCCTGGTGTTGAAGGAGAGCCTTTGCAGAGGTGGTGTGGGTGTTTTCATACCCTGGTGACTGAGCCTTGCTAGGCTGGGCTTTGCTCAGGGTGCACAGGAGCAGTGGGGTAAGACAGGGCTGTAGGAATGATTTGGGAACAGACCTTGCAGTCAGTGTGGAAGGACATTCTGGGCAGCATCTTTCCATTTGCAATGCAGCATCAGTGGCAGCTCCAGCAGTTCGTTTCCAAGGATGAGGTGATGGAGCAGGCTTGGGCACTCTGYGAGGGAAAGAAACATTTTGCTCTGTAAATGTCCTCCTTCCTTTTGCCCCACTTTCCATTCCCTCTTCTTTACAAGCTGAGAGGAAGGAATTAATCCAGCTCGTCAAACATTCCTTTCAAGCACTGTGCAAACAGATGGCTTTTGTCAAAGGCTGGTTAAGAGTCTCCACAGAGCTGGGAACTAGGGAACTCGTTCAGGTGAATAGTGAGTCTGAAACAACACACTGCTGGCACTCTGAGCACTGTTTGCTTGGAAATTAAATTTAAAACACCAGTGTGTGCGCCACGTGTTCAACAGCACTGAGTTCCCTCATACACTGAGTTAAAAGAAATATTTTCAGCCAAGTTTTTTTTCATTATGGCCACAAATACTAAGTAGCAGATACATGAAAAATTCATCTTGCATCTGGAAACAACTGGGCAGGATCATTGTTTGTAAATGTTTTGTGTGTCACCATCTCTGTTCCTTTCCCTCCCCTTCCCTGTCTCATGGACATTGTTCACTTACGTTTATTTCTTTCATTCTGTGTCTGTGAAGCTTCTCTGCCTTGCTCTAAGTCTGCAGTTTTCATGCAGCTGCCTCATCCAGGTACTCTCTTCTTTCATCATATTTGCACGAAATGCTGCTTGAGCTGTGTTAGGGCTGGGCTGTGGCATGAGAAGCAGTTTCTGACACGGGAATGGCTTCAGCAAGTGCTAAGCTGGTGTATTCCTTGGGGATGCCAATAATACCTGGTAGTGGAGCAGACAGAGTCACAGCCTTGAGAATAAATCTGGTAACAGAGAAGGTGATGCCTAACAGAGGAAATGACTCTGTAATGAACTGTTTGGATTCACTGGGACTCAGCTCTGCCTGCAGGGTCACACGGCAAACACTCGAGTTCTTGGTGCTAAACTGCAGAGGTGCAGTAAAGCAGGAGCTGCACACCTCTGCATTTCTGCTTGGTGTGGAGAAGTAAGGAAAGCTGCACAAGAGGGCGTTTTGTTCACGCCCATGGGCTGTCCCTGTCCTCAGCGTAGTTTTGGGGTTTTGTGCYGCTGCCCACACAAGGAGAGGAAGGTGCAGCCTCTGGCTGGAGCCCTCACATTGTCCCTGTGCTGAGTGTGGAGCGTGTTCTTTGTTCTCACTAATGCCAACACAAATCAATTTCTTGCACATAATTGTGGATATGTCACAGTAACAGAACTTTGTTCTAACCTTAGCATTCGCTGTCAGACATCCTTATTTTTGCTGCTGATTGTACTTGAATCCTCTTGCATTAAACCACCCCTCCTGCTCTTCAYTCCCGTGCTGCACCTGTTCCCGCGGGTGTGAGGTGTTGTTAAACACTCATCAAACAGTCAGAGTGTGGCAGCTACACGGAGATTCTGCTGCAGGGCTGGGTGACTGCCAGCAGTGCCAGCACATGGCCTGGAGCACGCCTGCACTAAGCTCAGCTCTGGGCTTATGGGTGTGCAGTGATCTTGCCCAAAGCCTCTGCTGCGCTCTAACGCCAGGCATTGGGTGGTGGTGTCATGTCAGCGTGAGGATTTCACTAAAACACTTTTGTTTTGGTGTTCATTTAATGTGAGACTTYTAGCAAAGCATAACAGAGTTTTGCTCTGCAGGACCTTGTCCTGCAGAGAACATGCAACACTTCTCAGAAGGGTCTAAGTTTGTGGGCACAAACGTGTCTGGTGCCATGCCCATCCTGACCCCCTCAAGCCTCTTGGTGCCACTGGTGGGGCTGAAYTCGGCAGTCACAGTTCTCGTGAGGAGACCCGGCCTCACCTCCTCTGTGCCTGTTCCCTGTCAATAACCTCCTTAGGAAACCGTTTCTTTACTCATTAAAAGTCAATTTGATGGTTTGTTTTGCGTTTTTCCCCTTCCCRCACTTAGCAAACATTTGTTTTCAGCAGGACAACCAAGTTTTCTTGGTTTTACTTTCCCTTTGCTCTTCAGCAGCYCCACGGGCTGTAGGGGAGGAGCAAGCGGCGCTGCAGCCCGTCCCTGCCCCGAACAGTGTTTGATTCATTTTGAGCTCAACCCGGCGGTCCCGGGCGGGCGGAGCTTGGCGGGGTGGGGGCCCCGTGGGGATCCGCCCGCTCCGGGACCCCCCCGCTCCGGGACCCTCCCGCTCCGGGACCCTCCCGCTCCGGGACCCGCCCGCTCCGGGACCCTCCCGCTCCGGGACCCTCCCGCTCCGGGACCCTCCCGCTCCGGGACCCTCCCGCTCCGGGACCCGCCCGCTCCGGGCTCCCCGGCGCTGGGGCTGCCCGGGCGGGCTCGGAGCTCCGGGCAGCGGGGTCAGCGGGGCTCAGCGCGGCTCTTGTGTCTCCGCAGGGATCGACAAGGAGAACGTGGAGCTCTCGCCCACCGCCGGCCACGCCAACAGCGGRAGGATGCGCCACGGCTCCGCCAGCCAAGTGCAGAAGCAGCGAAGCGCCGGCAGCTTCAAGCGTCACAGCATCAAAAAGATCGTGTGATTGTCGCTTTTTAATTTTATTTTTTATTTTTGGACCTGACTGACACGCGCAGCCCCTCGCGAAGGGCCCTCCACCGGGTGTGATGCTGCACTTGATCTGTACAGTTCCCATCCCGTCAGCCGCGTTGCCAGATGATCAACTCCTGACCCACTGCCTGAGTTAACGCCTTCGTTCCTCCCGTGTTTGATTTCAGCCRGTGTTCAGAGCCACGCGTGTTCCCGGGGGAGTTTGGAGTTCTGTAGCGCTGCAGAGCCGCGTCCTGTCCGAATCCAAAGCCATTCCCCAGCCCCGCCGTGTGTCTGCTCTGGCCTCGGGTGTTCCTGCTAAGGGAAGTGTTGATCCTTAATCCTGTTTGCACGCCTCAAGGTAGTGGCATCCTGAGCCGGGGAGGTTTCTCTAATCCCGGTTTTAATCCAAACSTGTAAGATTTTAGCTGTGTACTTTTTTTTACCACACTGAAAAGAAATTCATGATAGCCRCAGTACAAGGATCTTAACAGAAGTGGTGGATTAGGTTAAATTTCAGGTAATTAGCAATAAAGGGGAGAGGAAAAGGAGGCTGCAGGAGTCCCTCATTCCCCAGACCAAGCTTCACACACTTGGACTGTACATGGACCAGACTGGACAAACTGGCTTTTCCCAAAGCTTTTTTTGTTTGTTTGTTTTAGGCTTTTTTTGGAGGGATTTTTTTGGGGGTTTTTGTTTTGTTTTGGTTTTTTTCTTGCTGTCTTACCTGCCCTGAGGAAGTTGTACAGGGGGAAATACCTGGGAACTGACCCTTGGGCTGTCRTTGTAGCACCTGCTTTAGTTCTGCCCTTCCCAACAAAGTGCACCTTKGAGAGCTCCTGGCAGAATATCCAGTGGGGAATGGAGGGGAAATTGGATGGATTCATTCCCGGCCTGGGGGATAGCGTGTGGCAAAGCTGCCCCTGTGCTGCCTGAGCAGGGACAGAAACAGCCACGKCTGCTCAAGGTACATGAATTGAAATTCACTGACCCTGTGTCCAGTGCCAGGGACGCCCGGAGCGGTGGTGCAGTCCCGTGCAGGGCTGGGGCTGCCGGAACCTCCCGGGGAACCTCCCGGGGCGGGTTTGGGGATCCTGCGGGGTCACACAAACCTCAGGCTGCTGTCACTGTCAGGGCACCCGCGCCTGGGGGTGTGCACGTGCTGCTGTGCTGGCCAGGGAGGAGGCGGTGCCGGTGTCACCATGGGTGCTGGTGTCACCATGGGTGCCATTGTCACCGTGGTTGCCAGTGCTATCATGGGTGCCGTTGCCACTGTGGTGCCGGTGTCACCATAGGTGCAGGTGTCACTGTGGGTGCCGGTGCCACTGTGGGTGCAGGTGTCACCATGGGTGCCGCTGTCACCGTGAGTGCAGGTGTCACTGTGGGTGCTGGTGTCACTGTGGGCACCGGTGTCACCATGGGTGCCGCTGTCACCATGGGTGCCGGTGTCACCGTAGGTGCTGGTGTCACCGTGGGTGCCGGTGTCACCGTGGGTGCAAGTGTCATCATGGATGCAGGTGCCACTGTAGGTGCCGGTGCCACTGTGGTGCCGCTGTCACCGTGGGTGCTGGTGTCACCATGGGTGCTGGTGTCACTGTGGGTGCCGGTGTCACCGTGGGTGCCAGTGTCACCGTGGGCACCGGTGCTGGGTCCCGGGTCCCGGTGCCCTGCGGGCACGTGTGGGGCACCTGAGTTGGGGCGAGCTGGCGTTCAGGCAGGAGCTGTATCCCTGGGGGTCACACAGCTCCTGCTCAGAAACAGATCCACTTCCCAGTTTCAGATCCCTGTGCTGTGGTAGGTAGGAATTAACAATCCTTCAGGGGCTGTAAAGGAAAAAAAAGTATATCCATTAGGTAAAAGCCAGTCCTCCAGTGCAATTGTTAGTGGCTTTCAGTAAATCAAACTCCACGGCTAAATTATTAGAGAATGGTACAATTAAGGGTCCCAATTTTATTGCTATAGCACATAATTCCCATGTATCCACACAGTAACAATGTAACATTTATGTAAATAAAAATACTTTTATTGTATTGATTCATAAAATAACAKTTTAATTTGTTTACAGTTCTGGAAAAACTGAACACAAACTTCATATGCAAATAGTTTGCCAAAAGAAGAGGAAAACTTAGAATTAGCAATCATGGATTAAASAGGTTAGAAAGATGAACTGGTGCAATTAACCAAATCCCCTCACTCTAATGGTGCAGGCACTGTGGCAGGARCGTGGTCACTGGTGACACAGAGCAGGGGCTCGAGCCTTGGGTTTGGGGTCTCCAAGTTAGAAACCATTGTCATCCCAYGACTCAGACCCTGAGGGGCCACCCAGTGTCACTGGTTTGCACTGGGTTGTGCCCAATTGAGCTGGTTCCAGCCCTCCCCATTTTGTTGAAGACAAGGAATTGTAGAAGCCTGAGGACTTGTAGTTAGGAGGAGAACAGGTATCTCTTGTAAAGGTGGTGTGCCTGTTTCTCATATGAGCAGGTCCCCTGCAAAAGGGAACAGTAATTCCAGAGGTTTTGTTGGGGCAGAGCCCTTCACTGTCCTGCATTGCCCACGTCAGAACTGTCCCTCCATCAGAACTGCTGCATTCACTGCAGCACAGAAGTGTGAGTGCAGAATGAACAGGGATGAAAGTCACCTTCCTTATGAGAACTCCTCCAGGCTCTCAGTCCCAGCTGAAAAAACAGGTCTCTTCATAAAATCAATAAACTAAACTGAATTTTTTCTTTCCTGGAAGGAGACAGTTGGAGTTTTCCCAGTATGAGAGGTTTCCCAGTATTAGAGGTTCAGAGTTKTCCCAGTGAGAGGGCCTGGACTCTGGCAGAGCAGGGAGTCAGATACCTGTGTCAGGTAACRGTGGTGGAATTGGGGTGTAAGGTCTGCTGATGGCCAGGGTTTATTTAATTTGGGATCATGTGCACCCYGACAGACAGGAACGTTGTCTCCTAGTACTGGTGCTTGGGAAGCTCATGCTTGGCTCCCAGGGAACCATGGCCTTTGTGTAATGATTAAAMTCCCATCAGTAATTAGTTGTTGAGTGCCTTACTGTCACTGCATCGCTCCTTTCCAGCAGCTGTTGCTGGGACTTTGCCTCTTTTTCTTTCTCACATCCTTCTTTTGTTCTTTCCCTGTTTGAGCACTCTCCGTCCTGCCCATTGCATCCCTGGAAGCGCCACTCCCATCCCGGGCTGCTCCATCCTTTCTCCAGCTGCTGCTCTGTTCTCTGGTGACCAGCAGGTTGTTGCTGGTGACAGTGTGGGTGTGAGCCCTGCCCTGACACGCGGGAGCCACCATGCTCCGGGCAGCCTGCGGGCCACTGGCAGAGGCTGCTGCTCCAGGCTCTGCTTCTCCAGGCTCTGCTGCAGGGCTGGAGCTGCAGCCCCAGAGTCTCTGTGCTCTGAGGTGAAAATTAAAAACTCAGAAAAATCCAATTGGAACACGTGGACCATGTAACACCCTTCTGGGGAGCGTGTGTGACACCCTGGCTCAGAGCCCGTTCCCCACCCCGCACTGACCACAGCTCAGTACTGTAAAGACAATTAACATTCTGTTTGTGTTTGTATTTTCCCTGACTTAAAGATAATTCAGTAGTATTTGAATAGTGCATAACCTACCTGTAATGATGCCAATGTTTCTGCTTTACCGTGCATGAGGTTTCCCAGGACAGGGAACATTTCACTCGTGGGCTGAGCCCCGGCGCGTGCTGGGGCTGGCTCTGACCTGGGTTGTAGGTTTTAGGGCTTTTTCTGTTTCATTCTAAGGTTCATTTTTTCCAATGTCACAAAGCACGTCCTATTGTTATGCAACAAACCACAGACAGTCACTCAGAGTGTTGGTCCCACCTTTTTTTTTTATGCGGTATATTCACCTGTAAATAGTTTTTGTGTAAAATTTGACAGAAAAGTATATTTACTACACTGTAAATACATGTGACAATATATTGTATTATTTTGCTTTTTTTGTAAAGCAGTTAGTTGCTGTATATGTATAACATACAAATTTGATTATTCTAGTGTTAGTAACTGTTAACTACTACTCCTCCCTCCTGCTGGTGTGTTCCATCATTTAAACCAGAAGCTGTGTACAACACACTCACCCTGTGTATGATCTCACTGCTTCCATCCGGCCTCAGAAGGGTTTTTCTGCCATCCCAATCCTGGCCATGCTGTGAAACCGAGTGTGTGAGCCTGGAGAGCCCGCTGGTCCCAGCGCCGGGGGAGCTGTGGGTCAAAGTGGTGGAAATCTGGTTTCAGATAATTATTGTTCACCCCATTCTCCCCTCATGTATGTACTTCCCCCTTTTTTTTGAAGTAAAATGTAAATTCAACCTGCTCCCACTTGTTTGAAGGTCATTCCCAGGGCTGTGGGGTGAAGGTGGTGTACACTGATGTCCTCTCTCTGTTGGGACAAGTTTGTGTGGGTTCTTTGGGGCTGAGCCAAAGGATCCAGCCCTGTCCCAGACCCAARCCCCCACTTTTTTCTGGGCAAAATTAAGATTCCAGTTAAAATCCAGTGTCTGGAGTTTGTTTTTCCAGACTGGTGCTGCTTTGGGTGTGGGATCCTGCACAGATCTAAGATTGCCTGGAGTGACTGAGGAACAAGAAAGCCCATTGTCATGAATTTCATGTCACTTCAATAAGATTATCATAACTGAATAATAAATCAGAATATTTCTTTTTTAAATGTAAATTTAATATTGTAATAAAACAGCTGCTTGGTCTTTAAATAACAATTCAGTATAATTTGTCTATTTGAGCTTTTTTAGCTTAGGAGCTTGAGGTTTCAGCTGTCAGGCAACTTCTCTGACAAATGATTAATCACATCTATTTTTCTTTTAGGGGGATACATTACTTTCCCATTAAAAATGTACAAGTACTTATATTCTGGCTTTGTGAATGGTAAAAGGATGTAAAGACACATTAAAGTGACTGCATTGACTTCTTCTGAGACATCTTATTGTTCCTGCATGGTGAACACAGACCTGCAGACACCTGGACAGGTCCTTTCTGCCGTGCTCCTGGTGCCAGCTGGGGCTGCATGAGTGGAASAGCAGCAGTGTGTGAACTGTTAAATTTCATTTTCTTTGCTTTAGAGGAAATACTCATAGTTCTAGGTTGGACTTGGAGTGGGAGCCAGGCAGGAGCCAGCTCCTGAGCAGCACCTGCTCAATCACTGCTGCCAAAAACATTCCTGAAGTTCCTCTTTTGGACAGTCAAGCCTCTCTGCTACTTGAGATCAAATAAATGGCCATAGGGAGGGAGTGAAAAGGAAGTTTTTAGTAATAYCTTTATGCAGTTGGAAAAACTATTTAGAGGAAAATTGCACCATTGGAGCAGGCAATTCAGTGTAARGAAATATCTTCAAAATCCCTGCCCAGCTGATGCTGCTGAAATATTTTAAAAAGRAAAATAATAAACTAAAAATGGAGAACTTGATCGTGGGGTATGAAGTCTGTTCTGGAGATAAAGACTGCACAAGGAGGAAAAGAAAGGCAGTTGTTCACAGCTGACCCCAGGATGAGATCTTAGAGCTGTTGGTGAAGCACTGTCCCAGGTCAGATGGGTCGTATGGCTCCCTTAGCTCCTTCCATAGCMTTGGATTCTGCTTGGTCACTTCTGCCATTATCAAATGTGTTTTATGTGTCCATCCTCCCCTCAGGCCCCTCTAAGGACAGGTGAGAGAACACCTGAGCTCAGGCAGCTCTAATGGCAATGAGTGATTGGGTGTCCCAGAACAAACAGCCAAAGGCAATCTCTGGCAGTGCTGCCAACATTCCTGTGAGAGCAGTGGAAGCCTTTCCCACTACTGCAGTCATGATTTCCAGGTGTGAATCCTTTGTGCCTTGGAACAGGGGCTCTTCAGGTTGACTGCTCCTCTGCTTAACAAGCTCACAAATGAAAATCACACCCAGTCTTGAGTGGGTGGAGCGAGGAGAAAAACAACTCCCATTATGTGACTTGTTCAAACAAGTAARGGTTTGTTCTTCAAAGGAATCATGAAAAAACCTTTAACGACAGGATCTTTTGGGATATTTAAATGACAATGCTATAAATAGCCAGGAGTAACTATATGCTCAAGAAATCCCCTCTGAACTATTAAATTGTATTTTTTTTTCTCATAGCATAYTGTCCTTCAAACAAACTGGAAATATCAGTTCTGCTGCTTCCAGTTAGGTACTGGRAGAGCAAGGTCTGCCCAGGAGAGCTGGGTGTGCAGCAAGACACAGCAAATATGCTGAAGAGTTGCTCGTTCATCCCTCCTTCTCTGGATGCTGGARAGCTGCTTCCCACTCATGAAAACTCCACACACAGACTGTGTAAGGAGAAGGTGGCCTGTCACACATGGAAGCAGTTCTGTTAGCAGGGATTGTTGTACTTACAATCAGTGTGATTTGATCATTACTCAA